ATTAATTTTACATTGAAATAAAGTGATGTCTAGAAGAAACTTTCTTGAAGTTGTTATGTTATTTATACATTTTTTTTTTGTGAAATATATTTAAAAGCTAAAGATAATGCAATGATTATTTATAAAAATATTAAAGATATTAAATAATATTTTTAAAATTTGTGATAAATTTAAATACTTATGTTAATCCTAAACAAATTGAAAAAAATAAATTACTTTTAAATTAATTTTAAATTGAGATGAGATGATGTACAGGATAAAGAATTTTCATTAAAATTTAAATTGATTTTTAATTAAATTTTAAAATTTTAGATAATTTAATAATTTTTAAAATATATATTTTTGTAAATAATTTAAAATTAATAAATATTTTATATGCTATCATAATTAGAAGTTTATGAATTATCTTACGTATAAAAAAAAAAGCTATCTAGGTAAGCATCTACATCAGTAATTGTTATATGATAACTATATATGTTATAATGTAAATATATATGATTATAACTTGTGCGATGCACGAAATAATTTTACTTATTTAATATGAATATATATAAATTAGTTTTTGAAAAAATTATATTTAAATCTTTAAAACTCATAGCATATATAAAATTTATATCTATTGACTTGTCATTAAAAAATAAACTTTTTGAAAACAACATATATTTTATTTGAATATTTTTATTTACAACAATATTTATACACCTGTAAAATTATATCAAATAAAAAAAATTTATGTCTTTCTTAAAAAAATAAAAATATATATTACTGAATGATAAATTAAATAATAAAAGAAGTAATAACATACTTTTATTTTAGTAATCTTGACTAAATTATTATGCAAAATATGAAAAATGTTAGAAAATATGTGAAAGAAGAAAAAATAAATTGAAAAATATTATTTTTCATAAGAATAAAACTGTAATAACAATAAAATATATTTTAGAAAAAAGTTATAAACAAAAAAAAATGCAATAGTAATAAAATATACCTTGAAAAAAATACTAAAAAAATAAAATAAAATGACGTATAACACATTATATTTATAGTCTTAAATTTGTATAAGAATTCTTTAGTGGCAATTAGGATTGAATAGATAATTTTTAATTTAATTTTTTAAATTTTAAAATAGATATAATAAGTGATAAAGATAATATTAAATCTTTTGCATTTATTTGAAATATAAATTTGATAATTAGAATTCAAATGGATATAATCATTTTGATGATCTTATTATTTAAATTCAAATAAAACTTTATCGAAAATTGAAAATTTTATATAAATTTTGAATTTAAATATATTAAATCATAATTTATCTTTTTTTTTTCAAATTTAATCATAGCTTTACACACACACACACACACACACATATATATATATATATTATGTGTCTATGTAAGCTTAATAAATTTTTATTTGTTGAAATCAAAATCTCAAGATAAAAATAAATAACTCATAAAATAAGAGTATCACCCCCTAACTAATTTTATTTATTCGTTATTATTAGAATTAGAAATTGAAGAATATAATCTTTTTTTTATTTGATGATTATGATTTTATGAGTTTTGACAGAAATGGATAAAAATTAAAAAGAATAATAATCACATCATTCTCATGAACAAGTAAATTCATTTTATGCCTTTATTTTTCTTTTATTTCTTTTATTATTATTTTTTTAGTTTTAAAAATAAGTTTGTGATGATGTTAGATTGTTTTTTTTTTTTTTATAATATTGATTTTTTCTTTTTTAGATTTCAATAATGAAAGAAAAATGAGCGTACATTTATATTGGTTTCAACTAGATAATAGGAATAGTTCATTATTTTTGTCCTATTCCATTTCTGTTTTTTTCCTTTATTTGTTTGTTTCTTCCAACCTCTTATTTGGTTTTATTTACATTATATGATATATACATTTAGATTTGATTTATTCTAAAAAAAGTTGGTCCATATGTATATATATATATATATATATATATAGTTAAATTGGATATTTACTATACACAAGTATAAGAGATTTAAATTATATATACATTCTCAATTTGTATTTTTAGTCAAATCAAAATCTATAGAATATTGAAAATTTTACATAAATTTTAAATTTAAATATATTAAATTATAAATTACCTTTATTTTTTAATTTAATCATAATTCCAAATATATATAAGCTTAATAAACTTTTATTTGCTTTCAAATAATTTTATTTAATAAATTATATAAATTTAATATTTTTGGGTAACTATTTAAATTCAAATCAAACTCTATAAAAAATTATAGATTTTACATAAATTTTGAATTTAAATATATTAAATGATAATTTATCTTTTTATCTTTAAATTTAATCATAACTCTACATATATATATATATATATATCTATATGTGTGTGTGTGTGAGTTTAATAAATTTTTATTTGTTGAAATCACAATCTCAAAATAAAAATAAAGAACTCATAAAGTGAGTACATCACCTTTTAATCAATGTTATTTTATTTGTTATTATTAGAATTAGAAATTGAAGAATACAATCTTTTTTTTTTATTTGACAATTATGATAAATGAGTTTTGATAGAAATTGACAAAATCTAAAAAGAATAATAACCACATCATACTCATAAATAAGTAAATTCATTTTATGCTTTTATTATTTTTTTTATTTTTATTTTTTAGTTTTACAAATAAGTTTGTGATGGTGTTGGATTTTTTTATAATATTGATTTTTTTTTGTTTTTTTGTTTTTAGATTTCAATAATGAAAAGAAAATGAGAGCATATTTGGTTGGGTTTCAACTAGGTAATAGGTATAGTTCATTACTTTTTTTATATTATATTTCCTTTTTTTGTTATTTTCCTCTATTTGTTTGTTTCTTCAAAGTTATTATTTGGTTTTATTTGCATTATATGATATATGCATCTAAATTTGATTTATTCTAAAATAAATTGGTTCATATGTTTATATATATATTTAGTTAAATTGGATATTTACTACGCATAAGTACAAGAAATCTGAATTATTTATAATTCTCAATTTGTATATTTAGTTTATATTCTAATAAAAAAACAACTATGCATGTTAAAGTATATATGTAAAAAAATAAGAACTAATAAAAAGCAAATGGTTATGAGCAAATTAATAATTATATTTTGTAGTTCAATCATATATTATTATTATTATTATTATTTGATGTTTTATTTTTGGTTTACCTTTATAAGATTTAATAATTTAAGAATATTTTGCTAATATAAATGTCTTTTACAATTTAATCAAATGATGTATTTTTTATATATTCATATCAACATATAAACAATTATTAATCTTGACTATTTTCTTTTTAATAAGCCAAAGTAAAATTTTATTAAAAGTAGTGAAATAGTTATAAATATCCAACCACAATTAAGAGTAAAATAAAACACAGAAAAAATATAAACCTTAAAGAAATTGTACCAAAATCACGTGAGAAATCTAAAAATGTAAATAACAACATTTTTAACACTAAAAAAAAAAACCATATAAACCAATAATAAAAATCTTGATTATTTAAAACTAAAGTTTGCTTTTTTGATCGAATAAGAAAAAACGAGTAGCAAAATTTTCATTGTTTAGTAAATGAATTGAAAAAATAATTTTTATGAAAAAGAAAAATTTTTTATAATTCTTTGAAATTTTACAAAAGTTTTGACTTTGAAAAAATATTACAATATATATATATATATATAAACTCTTATTTAATTGTACCTTAATATTTATGAATATATGATTATATCTAATAAATCAATAAATGTTTATATATTTATTTATTAAAGTAATATAAAAATTTAAGGTTAATATAATTTTTTTAAATTATTAAAAATAATAAAAAAATTTTCATGCTTAGCACGGGTTAAAAAACTAGTTTATAATTAAAAAAATTATCTTATTTTTTTAAAAACTATCTTATGTATCATTTAAGAGAGTTATCTATATAAACATCCATGTGGCAAATATAGATTTTACTTTCACTTGAAGATTCTTAACTTACTGTTGAGTAGATTTATTCACTTGTAATTGGTATTGTGAGTGAAGTTAATATCACGTAGTAAAATCAATATTTATATTATTAAATTAATTATTATGTTAATATTTTTAATGATGAAATTTTGATAAAGTTAATGATTAAATTAAAATTATTAATTCAAAATATTATAAAAATTAAATTTATATCAATTATAATATAAAAATTAAATTTTAAAATTTGATCTAATATAAAAATTTTTGACATAATTTGATCTATCTTTTACTATTATTATCATTTTTTCTCTCAAAGATATTAAGGCTTCAATCTTCATGCAATTCAATCTAAACCAAACATTTTAAGAGAATTTAGATTAAAAGTCAAATCGTGTTTAACCCTTAGGGCATTTTGTCATCAAGTGTTGAACGTATATATCAATTGCTTAAACATAAAGGAAGTTCTTCCAAGCAAAAAAAGTTACGGAGTTAGTAGTTTTCTTTGTCGATTGATTTGCTATTTGATTTTTAATGTATTTTGTTTTATTTTCTTTCAAGAATTGGGATATCTTTTGTGGGTGTCACGGAATAGACCATTATGCCCACATCAAGATCTTAAATTTAATTTGGAAAATATGAAAATAATTAAAAAACAAATTTAATTTCTAAAACGATCGTATATGGGATGATTAACCATCATTTCTTCAACAAAATTTTGAATATAGAATTAAACGCATGATACAATCGCCATAGTGTCACAAAGAGGCGGATTAAGGCCCAATGAAAAATGGGTACATCATCACAACAAGAAAAGCGTGCCAACACATGGAAGTAGATGGTTGAGTTGCCCTCAGTAAATTTGTTTGGGAAGATTTATAAAAGGAAGGTTTGGTTGCATATTGATAATCAACATCGAAAGAACAACCAATCATGTCTTTACATTTGTTTTCACATGTAAACAACTCAATACCCTCCAAAGCAAATAGCAGAAACGTACTTGATTTGGAGTCATATGTATGACTAGACATATCATAATGTTCTCAAACATCTTGGTTTCTTGAATTCTTCGAACTTTTTTTTGTTTGTTTTGGCTTTTCTTTGAAGCTTTTCTCTTCTTGTATATGGCTGATTCAGCATATGATGAAGAGTGTGATTACCTGTTTAAGGCTGTGCTGATTGGTGATTCTGCAGTTGGGAAATCAAATCTGCTCTCAAGGTTTGCCGCAGATGAATTTCGATTGGATTCCAAGCCAACTATAGGGGTTGAATTTGCTTACCGGAATGTTAAGATTGGTGACAAAATCATCAAGGCTCAAATATGGGACACTGCCGGCCAAGAAAGGTAATTGAAAAACCTTATCTCCTACCCTAAGCATCTTTTTCAACAGTAGCATCTTTACCTTCGAATCCTTGCTGAAGCTATGACTTGATACACTTTAAATATATACATATATGAGATCATCTTTTAGTTTAATGGATAAAGCAAAATTTTTATAGGAATTAGAAGAATTATTGATCAGTTGGGTCAATTATTGTATTAGTTTTTTTTTTTTTTTGCCTATAATTATTGTATTAGTTGATGAAGATGAATAGCGATTGATTGAACTCACTAAAACTCAGCCAAACCGGACCTATCTAAACCCACTGACTCAGTTTTAGAAACTGATTTTTTATTAGCACTTAGAATTTGAATCTTATAATTAAAACTAAGATTTTAGCACTCTATTAACAGATTATAGAATTCTTAGTAAAATGATATACTTGTTATTATGATGTTGATTTTTTTTATATTTAAAATTATTAAAATTTAAATTTTGTTATTGAAACTAAAAATTTAATATTTTAACAATAAATTATACGAAAATTAACAAAAATTAAAAAATAAAGTATTTAACCTAAAATTAATTAATTATTTTCAATCTGTTTGTCAAAATTTACCTTCTTTTTAATATATAAAGCTAAATGAAAGTTGTTTAAACACTTCCCGTTCCATACATATGCATCGAACATGTGAGTTAACTCAGCCAAATCACATGAACATCTTTCCAGTAACTTGATGATAGTCTGACTACTGGTTCAAAGGAGACTTTTCATCTTAATAGTTAAAAAGGCATTAATTCTTTATAAGAATGTTTCTATTCTAGTGGGACCCAAATTATTATTAAAGACTTATCTTTAAAATTAAACTCAAATGAAAATCCTATCCTCATTAAAAATTTCAGAAATTAAGTTTAGAATAAATTCTACAAAATATTGGTGGAATTTTAAAACTTCTAAAACAATATTAAAATATTATATATGACTTTATGTGAAAAAAAATCGTATTGAAAATGTTTTATGTGATAGTTGGCCCGCACTTTGTTGCAGGTGAAAAAAAACTGAGTACATAATGCTTAAATAAAAAAAAAAAACTGATATTAAACATGATTGTTCAAATATTTTCAATAATTTCAAATAATAAAAACCAAAAAAATGAATCAAACATTAAAAAATTAAAACTTAAGAAATAAATCTGATCTCCTACAGCAGTAAAAAAAATAAAATCTGATCTCTGCTGATTTATATTTGGGGAAAATTTGAGAAAGATTTTACAAAAATTAAAAAATTGAAACTTTAAAGAAAGAAATCTGATATCTTGTAGCAGTAAAATACGAAATATTCCCCAAATTCCCAAATTAAAAAATAAATCAAACATTATCCTGCAGCAGTTAAAAAAGGGCCGCAACAGATTTTATTACATAATCAATTGCTGTTATCCTTAAGAAAGAATAAGCTTTCCGAACTAAAATAAAGGACTACTTATACAACTTCAAATAATATTAAGCACTTAGGCATGCATTTCAACCACCAGTTTTCCTGAAAATCTCACTCAAAACAACATGCAACTCATGCATGTTCCAATGCATGACAAATTTTTGGAACTCGTCAATGAAGTAATGGTTCTAGTCGTAATGATGGAATCTTGCTTTGCCCTTTCTCTATTTCTCCTTTTCTTTGCTTCACTATCACTGTTTCTCATCTCTGTATGCACCAAAAAAGAAAACCAGAAAAAAAAAAAAAAAACCTTCAAAAATAATGTCTTTTTAGTTTTGTTAAATTCACTGCTTAAGAACAAACCTATTTTCTATTTAGAAAAAAAACTGAAAATTATTAACCCATTATATTCCCTTCATTTTTGTTTGCTTCGGCTTCTTCAAATTGAAAGAAGCTCTGCAAATTTCGATTTTTTTTTTTTTTTGCAAAAAAATTTTTGGGTTGCGTTTTGGAGTAGAAATGTGGAGCAAAGAGCTGTTTTTCAGGATTCTAAAGTCAATAATGACTCTCTGGTTTTCTTTTTGTGCTAGTTTTCTCATTGAAACCAGATAGGGGAAAAACCGTGAAAAACCAACAAAAAAACCGGTATATATGGTAGCCTCAGAATCCTTTGGGATTCTTTTTATATATAGTATATAGATTTTGCTTATTCTAATGTAGTATTTGATATATTTTTTATGGTTTTCTTTTTTTTTTTTAATTTAGAATGTCTTTTTTATTTTCTTAGAATTAAGTGTCCACTAACCCCATTCTTTCTTTTCTGTTTCTTCTTCTCTAGTTTTCTTTGGTACGTTTCCCTGCTTTTTTTTTTTTTTTTTCATCTTTTTAGTATCTATTTTGTTATTTCTCATATTATTATTTTTTAATTTCAAAATTTTCGACTAGCAAAGGATTGAATAGCACAAAAAAGAGAGAGAAAAGTTTTCACACCTGAAACTTTCATGTTATTAATAGTTTTTTCCCTAAATTTTCAAGGATTTGTGGATAATATTTTACATATTTTCTCAATATGAGATAAATTTAGGAAGAGAGTTCATTGTAGGGATACTTGGTTCACGAATTTTAAATTTTGGAAAAAAGAAGTGATTGATAAAAATGTTGAATAGATCAAGTATATAAAATGTAAATAATATGAACAATATATATCATCACTTCATCTAAAGAGGTATTTTAAGAAAGTATGATAAAAACCTAATTAGTTCTAATTTGATATAAAAATTAAATATAATTTTCTTTTAAGATTAAACCATACTTTTGCAAATGTAATTTTTTATGACAAATCACATACGATTCAATTTTGTTATCCTCTTATGCATTTGTTATATTTTAGTTATAATTTAATCCAATACCATATTTTATTACATTTTATATTACTAAAATATATCTATTACAAGGACATGAAATCACAAATAATTTTGATTAGTTTTGTGATTGTAATTAGCAACAAACTGTGTTTTACGTCGAGTATATTGTATTAGATTGATAAAATTACTGGTATATATGAAAGGATATATATATATATATATATATGCAAATAATAGTATATTTTTAATAATGATTTAGATAAAATATTTTCTAATTATTACTTGAAACAAATAAGAAATTTAATGGTGAGATTTATTTATTTTTTAATGAAAAAGGCATAAACCATTAATAATTATGTGATCTGTTAATAAAATTTTTATTTTCAATTCTAATAATCAAAGTTCAATTATGAATATGTAAGCGAACACTGTTTTGGTACAGGTTTAGAGCAATTACAAGTTCATACTATCGGGGAGCGCTGGGGGCATTGTTGGTTTATGACATAACCCGGAGAACAACATTTGCAAATGTGAAGAAATGGATGCATGAGCTCAGAGAATATGGTAATTCCGATATGGTAGTTGTTCTTGTTGGGAATAAATCCGATTTGGCTCAGTCCAGACAAGTTAGTGAGGAAGAAGGACGAAATCTTGCAGAGTCAGAAGGTTTGTTTTTCATGGAAACATCTGCATTGGAAAATTTGAATGTTGAGGAAGCATTTTTACGTATGATCACAAAAATTCACGAAATCACAAGTAAAAAATATTTAGATGCTAAAACAAATGAAACAGCTAATCTTCATGGCGGAAAAGAAATTATCACTATTGACGAAGTGACTGCAACTAAACACTCAAATAATTGTTGTTACAACTGAATAATCTTTATTTTACGTGTATTTTTATGTATCATTATTATTTATCTTAAATTTGTGTTTTTTACCTTCAAAATTTCCTTGCTTCCTCTTCAATCTATTGAAGTTGGATTGTACCTGAAACTTGAATGCGTCAGAATTTGTTTATCCATATGATGAGTTGGGAATCCATATTCTGGCTTTTAACATTATGTCAATTTTAAAAAATATTGTAATAATTCCATTGATTAATCACTCTACTGTTGTAGTATTTTTTTTTTCTAACCAAGTTAATTGTTTCAATGTAATATCTATCGTCAGGACAAATAAACTGATTTCTGTATGATACTTAGATCAATTTATTGAAGTATAGTTGTCCTCTAACTATCCCCATCCTCAGCCTCGTGCACCGATTGTTATTGGATATGTAAAATAAATTTCAAAATCCCATATATATGAATAAATGGAGTTTTAAAATATAAATGGATTAAATATTGGTTTAGCCTTGAGCATGTACACTTTTTGTTAATTTAGTTTTCAAAGAATTAAAGTTTTCAATTAAGTACTTAAATTTTCATTTTGTCAAGCATTCGATGCTAATATATACTCTAGAGCCAATCGGATTGGTCAAGAATATCTTGATATGTGACATAAAGGTTTTCCTTCAACATTAGCATGAGAATAAAGAGATAATAAATGCTAATTGGATGAAAACCGTAGAACACATAAGCTTTACTAAGCAATTATAAAAGATTATAATTATGAGATTCTTACACATAAAAGCTATGTTTTTAAAATTGTTACTTGTCATTATATTGTCGAGACAAGACATCAATAGTGCTCAACGACCGATAAATATTAAATCTCCTTATTTATAAAGTAACCTACCTCATAGGCTGAAGCATAGTGATAATTGGGTATAAAATGCAAGTGCTTGTTAGATAAATAAGTTCACTAGCCTACAATGAGAATTCTATTTTATATTTCACTCAAGTTTTTATGGAAATGTTATCATGTGTCAGATATGTAACTAATTCTATGACTAGTGGTCATAACAAGTCATCTGGTATGTGAATTGTAACACTTTCATTTCATTTTTATGGGTTTAGGTGCCAAATAACTAAAAATGGTGAATTTGGTTTAACATGATAAACAAGAAGATGAATGAGTGATCCAAAAAGATTCATCACCTCAAGTGATATGAGATGATATATCTCACCAGTACTTCACTTAGGCTAGCTTAATAAAATTTTTGATCTAAGCATGATGAATTTAGAATAAATAGTTTATCTAAATTTATAAAATGAACCAAAAGTTGCAATAACTAATATAAAGACATAATACATAGACACTGCACCATACTCATTGTCTTTTTCAGATATTTGATGAAAGGACTGATTACATTGATAGACTAAACATTGAAAGATAGACTAAACATTGAAAGACTATGTTGAGATTATCTTAACTTTTCAATATTTGAGTGGTCATGATATATTGTTAGATGAATCTCATAATATATTAATATAAGTTGATTGTTCTTATTTTGTTTTGGATTTATATTATTTTCAACATATAGAAAGGCTAACAAGTCACACTTAAAAGTGAAATTATTGAAAATAAATGGAATTTTCAATTAAGTAGGAAGTAAGTTAGAGCCTTTAAGGATTTAATTGCAAAGGGTGTAAAAATTATATCGAAGTATATTAGGGATAGAAGATTTAAGGAAAGATAAAAAAAAAAAAAACCCTTTACTTAAAGGGTTCGTTGTCCCTTAACTTTGGCCAAAATTTTATTTTGATCCCTAATCTTTAAAAATTCTAATCAAATCCCCAATTGCCCAAAATTGTCTTATTTTGGTTGTTTCATCTATAAAACCATTTAAATTGATGGCAAATACCAATGAGTGTCATATGATGACGTCAGTTGGCATCTCATATGATAGAGGAGGGAACGAAATAGAACTCTCTTAAAGTTTAGAACCAAAAAATTTTATATATTTAATGTGTATTTTATAAAATATTAAATTTAAAAATGTATTTTTATATTTTTGTTGTAATATAATTTATAGTTATATTTTTAGTTTTAATAGAAAATAGATTTTAAAAAATTAAAATTAAGTTAAAAATTCAAATTCTTTTTTTTTTTTGAAAATTCAATGTCATTTTAAAAACAAAAAAAAATTATTTTCTATTAAAAATATTATTTTATTCTTAAATCATAATAAAAAATTATTTTGTATCCAAAATATATTTTAAAATATTAAATATATTTTCTTTTCTTTTTTCAAAAACGCTTTATAAAAAATAAAAGAAGTAAAAATAAAATAATTAAAGAAAAATTACAAACTTTATATATATTATTGTGTTGTTATACATAAAATTATGATTGTTCTTAATGACATGAACCATGGTGGATATGACTTTAGTGTCCATGATAAATAATTTTATAAGTATCCATAAGTTGGTATGAAAGTCTAAAAAAGGAGACTATAGGAAGTATGAGTTTACTAAAAGGAAATAATTTTGCAGATGATTCTGTTTGACATCATACTTACTGATATATAATCTCATATTGAATTAAAATATAAAAGTTTTGAAACTTTTATGAAAAGAAAATATTAAGATATAAAATATTTGATAGTTATCTTTCACTAAGAGTAGATTTGGAGGCCTCTTACTTAAACAAAAACAATCACCAAATAGTGAAATAATAAATAAAATGGCAACTTGATTAAGTATATATAATATCTTAATAATTGAATGGAATATTCTTTAATAAAAGAATGCATATTTGCACATGGAGGGGATAATAAGAATCAAAAGAAATAAAAATCATCATAGTGTTGTAAAATTTAAGTATAATTTTATGAGAAAATTATACAAACTAATAAGTTTAGTACAACTTGTTAAAGTAAAATCATTAAAAAGTTCCTAAATATCTTAAAAGGACTAAAACGGCTTGGTTTATTCATTAAGTTTAGCCAATTGTACTAGAAGGATAATTATATTAAGAATGCATAAAGTATGGAAATAAAATGGTTTAAATTTATGAGTATAGAGTTGTGGCTATAACCAATACCAATTATTTCTTAAAATGACAAAAATGGAACAATAATGTCTTTAGCATATAAATGATATGCAAATGAAAAGTTTAGACATATTAGCCTATCAAGTGATTCTCTAAATGTTAGCCTATGAAGTGATTATATTAGATATCAACTCAACTATGGATAATTATCATAAATGAAAATTAAATTACAAGATATTTGATTAGTAGTACTACAAGTAGAAGGAGTTTAAACCCTTAATATTAGACACTAATAATGGGAACCCAATGTTAAATTAGTAACTTCTAATTACAAAGTTTCATAGATAAAAACAAGTTATTATTATGTGCTTGTAAACACTAGTAAAACTCATTCAAATTTTAGAAACAAATGTGGTTCATTGCATGGAAGAATGAGATTTTGTACTCTTAATAGAGTTCATTATTTAAATGACTAAAGCAATGGAGACATCATGGAAACTTTACTTATATAAACATAGAAGTGGTGCCACTTCAACAAGAAGAATTAGGGTTTCTCTTGTAAATGTTTATGATTGGATAAGCAATGGTCATAATAGTGCTAAAGTGGTTATAAAACTCTTATAGAAGAAAAAGTAAGTATTATGTGTTTTATATTTTCAATTCTAATACTAAGAGTTGAAGTTTAATTTGCAAACACCATTAATTTCATTAAAATTTTAAGGTATAACACTAATTGAAGGCTTATATTGAGATATACTTTCTTGTATTCACAATATTATTTGTGTGAAAGTTTAAAGATTAAGCACCAACATTCAAAATTATTGGGGGATTGTTAATAGTTTAGAATTGGTGCATTGCATGTTGGATTGAAAGACTTAATTATTGGTGAAAAGATTTAATTTTTATATTAAATTTATTCATATTCTGAATAATTATGTTTGAATAAAAATAATTATTATATAATAAATGATCATAACTATTTGCATATAAATAGATAGTTCTTGAGGTGAAGAATTATTTTTAGAATTCTACTAGATTGATGGAGAAATCTCAAGAATTATTTCAAATATTTAAAGTATTAAATTTAAGACCATTAGAGTCAAGAACTTAAGATAATTTAAAATAAAATGGTACCATCCTTTGGATGGGCATGTGGGGTGTTATAACCTTTTTCATATGTAATCAAACTCGAACTGTATTCTAATTAGCAAACCAAAACCTATTATTTAAAGACCTTTAGTCAAACTTAAGAACTCCTTAAAAGGATAGATTCATTAGGTGGCCAATCACACATTAAAAAATAAGATTGGTGGTGAGTCCTTAGGTTGTGTCTAGCTATAGATTTATGGATCTATATGTTATGATAGTTTGGCAACTTCACTAGGGACTTATAGAGAGTCAGGCCATAACATTTTAAATTTATCCTATCTTTTGAGCTAATGGTTTTAAATTGTAATAATTGTGTTATTTGTTCACTAATGTTTTTTTTTCTTTTATTTACGGGGGTTTGAAAATTATATGTTCCTTCACGCACACTATCACATGTATTTGTATTGTATGAGCTCTATACCCAGGCTATATTCCTCTTAGGAGGGAGTAAAGTACCTATACTCTCATGAGATGATAATTTTCACCATGGCTAGCAAAATACTCCCACTCAAATTGAAGCTTTTTCCTTGGTAACCTATGATGGATGAAGATTGGAATGCCTTACTAATCTGTGATGGACAATGTTGTAAGGAACAATTTGGGAACCTTTAGTGGTCAAAATCATTTAGCCCTGCATATAATCTACACTTAAGAGGCCAGCCTTAAGATAGAGCCATTTCTAGCCATTGATAGATGTAACCCAAACTTAAGATACAAGAAGGAACAATTTATGTGATATATTGATTACTTAACCATTTTTATTTGTTTGACTTTGTGCATTTGCATCATTTCAATTGTTATATTGTTTACATTATTTACATTGTCACATATAACTTTGTGCATTTGCATCATTCTCATAGAGGGAACATTTGCCACATATCAGTTATTGATAAATCAGATCTCATACCTATATCCATAAAAAGCTAAATTCAATCAAAGTTTGCATCAATTTGTTATGAATTACTCACAAATTGAAAATCAAGTCAGAGGAAGGTTAAAAAAAAGAGGGTAATTGCCTACTTAAGGGCTTTTCTCATCATTGCCTAAGAAGTTCATCTCGATCTCCAACAAAATAACTTGGCTGACTTATGCAATATTTAGGGATGCATGAATAAATATGGAGGCATAGCTTCACTACTCCAAGTAGATATGGACAATAATCTAATCAAGCCATCTTCAGTTTTGGGATCTTTTTATAAGTGCTTCAT